AATTTGCTTTTGCACATCATGAATTTTTATGACGAGCATTATGCACACAATACAATGAAGCGAACAGCGTGATGGAACGCTTCGATACTCTAGCCAAACGCCGAGAATCATTCTGAAAGACCATCTGAAGCGCTCGAAGCAGATGCGCCATCAGATCAGATTCATTTGGGAACCAATTGTTGATAGAACATTTTGGTCAAGCATATTCTGGACTTTGAATTTGAGTTGGAATTTTCATCAAGTTCAAATAATCATTATTATTTCTGATGAAACACAGAAGTGATTTTAAAGATTCAACAAGCCAACAAGCCAGGCGATTCAACATCCTTTCGATAAGCGTTTACCGTGTAGTTTTAATGTTCTCCGAGGTTTGATATCGTGTTGTCAGATCTTCTGTTCCACTCAAAAAAGCCTCTTCGTACATTTTCTTGTTCCTATAAAGTACCACCAAACCCATAACAATCGCTGTTGCGTCCAGTAATGACATAATCACCACTGGTACTATTGTTCTGCTACGTCCATCGGCTGAAATTTCAATTATGTCATCTCAAATTTTGAACACGACAATCATTTAGGTTTGCAGTTCGAACAGGACAAGCTTCAGCTGCTTGGAAAAGTATACCGTACGAAGAATCCAACTCCCGAAAGCAGTCAATAATAAGAAGCATCGAAAAAATTGCATGTCATCTCAAATCCAGAAAATTCGTTTCTCACACTTGAACAAGCGATCTGCTCGAGTAATCTTATGCGATGAGTGAATGTCTCAAAAGATTTCACTGCATTAAACTTGTCATGATTCAATCAATTCAGTCAAATGGCCTATTGGACAAAGCACTTCTGCAGAGTTAAAGTAGAATAAACTTACGAATCACAAGGAATAATGTCTTCAACAAAATCGCCACCAACAACTGAAATTCAACAATAATCTGATGCTTGATCAAATGCTTGAAATGTCGATCGAAAGTAAATAAACATTAACAAGGTATCCAGTCGAATCCACGGAACTAATGTTATCCATAAACTTGGAGCTAGCTCAGAAATTTGCCATTAAGTTCCTTGAGATAACAACTTTTTCAGAGATTCTTCTCAAACGCTCAAAAATACGTGATTATGATGATGAAGCAATGCAAAACAGAGCAATGCAAAACTTGAAGAAAACATTCGCTGTTAACAAGACGACTATGATAAATCGTTGTATTGAATCGGTGGATTGAAGTGATGTGATTCATTAGACTAACCGGTGAACCCCAAATACAAATCAAAATAATCGGTGATTTGAAACGTTTCTCGTAGGTTTTAACATACAATGTGGCTGCTAATCGCTCCAATACTGAAACAGAAAATTTATTTCTTATGCCATAGATGAACACTCATTACAATAGCAATCACTCTGTTGCCATTTTAATGAGTTTGACTAGGAGAAATTTTGAGAAATATTTTTGCATATTTTAGAAAACTTTGGTGTGCACCACGTATTTTTGATCACTGGTACGAACCTACGAGCAGAAGTGATCACATCTCGCCCGTGATATTCGAACAATATTATAGGAGAAGGAAATGATCATGCATAAGAGAC